CCCCTGCCACTGCGGTCCTCGAAGGGCACTGCCAGGCTCAGTCCGCGGAGCAGTCGGCACAGCACAGCCTCAGCGCGGAGGGATCCCTCCTTCTCCCGCAGCATGCAGCAAAACAATGCACATGGAGAGACAAGCTTAGACGTGCCTATCACTGCCAGAAGCTGCTCTGCATGTGGCCTTCAAACGCTTACCTGGAGTCTTGCCACCCTGCTGGTTGTGCCACAGGCACTGCCAGGCTCAGTCCGCGGAGCAGTCGGCACAGCACAGCCTCAGCGCGGAGGGATCCCTCCTTCTCCCGCAGCATGCAGCAAAACAATGCACATGGAGAGACAAGCTTAGACGTGCCTATCACTGCCAGAAGCTGCTCTGCATGTGGCCTTCAAACGCTTACCTGGAGTCTTGCCACCCTGCTGGTTGTGCCACAGGGTGCCACTGGCACCAGCGCAGCTCACGGAAGCACCTGCCTCCTTGTTCCACAAGGTGCCTGGAGCTGTGCCTGGCACAGACAGCCAGGCCTTCAGCCTCATGAGCTGGGGATTGGAGCTGAAGGAGCTCCCATGGCTCTCACACTGCTCCAACACCCATCTGCTCACCAGCACCACCTGGGGCCCTGCTTTTTGGGGGTTCCCATGGGTTGTGCCACAGCATATTGGGGCCACTAAGAAGGATGGCAGTGCCTCAAATCCAGAGCTGGCTGCCCCCACCCCATGGAGAGGTGCATCCCACCTCCAGCTGCTGCAGAGCCACCGAGAGGGCTAAGCCATCCTCCATCCTCTCCCTGCTGAGGACCAAAGGGGCATGCAAGATCTCTGCTGCTGTCTCCATCCTGCTCAAGGGAGGACAGGCTGTGGGCCGTGCTCACTCGCACCTGGGACAGCCTCGGCCCCACCGCCTGGGCGTGATGCCCGGACAGAGGAGCCACCCCCTGACTTGGCTTGCCAAGGGCACATCGGCCACTTGCTCTCCTCCTCCTCCTGCCCTCAAGGCACACAGGGACGGAGGGTGCCCCTCACTTTCAGAGTGGCCCCTCAAGCTGGACCCAGCCCAGCTGCAAGGCAAACCAACGCTGGCCTAGCAGAGGCACCCCACCATGGTACCAAGGCTTCCTTGCCCATCACACAGCAATGCCCAGTGCAGGCACGGTCTGTGCCTGGGCCAGATCTTTGCAACACGGACACCACAGATCACCACCTGCGACAGGCCAAAGACATGCCCGGCCTGGGGAGACTGAGCAGGCCCGAGAAGAGGAGATGATTCCCCACCCAGCCCCATGGTATGGGCCCCACAGCCCCACTCCCAGCATAGACCCCCCTCCCCTGTCCCATACTTGCGGTTCCTCTCCTTCACCACCATGCGGGTCATGCTCTGGATGCACTGAGTGCGGTAGTTCTCATAGTGGGTTTCTCGCGTCACGTCCTTGAGGTCCTGCATGTGTGTCCTCACCAGCATTGTGCGCAGCTTCACAAAGTCGCAGTGGGCCGGGTTCTCCACTGCAGGGAAGCTGGGGTTAGAATGTGATAGCCAGCCCCTGCATCCCCCAAAACCCACTGCGGTGGAACAAGGCAAGAAGAACCTACTCTGGAGACTCGCACAGCAGACAATTAGGCCAGATGGGATGGTGACACTAGAGAAAGCAGACTGCTGCTGTCTGCATGGAGAAGGGGCACGTGGTGTCCCCATGCCCTACAACTCCCCGAGGGCTGGCAGGGCAATGGGGGCAGCGCCAGGAGCATGGTCTGAGGCACAAAGCTGCTGGGTCCTGCCACAGCATTACCTTCCACAATGCCCCAGGGATAGAGCCGCCCGCGGACACGCCGGCCTTTGGCCTCCACGACTGTGTTGCTGCCGATCACAGCGAACGGGATGCTCTCCTGCAAGAGGACCACAAGGTTTAGCAGGGCTCAGTCCTACCCATTGCACTGCCCACGGCTCTCAACCCCAGGTCCCTTCATACCCTGGCCTCTGCCTATCCAGCACAGATCTGACAAGATGACTAGGAACCCTGGCTATAGATAGCCCCAGATGGGACAGCAGTGGTCACAGCACTGGTTTCTCCACCCCACACTGATCCTGCTGTTGGCCACTTGGCCAAGCTGTGGGCAGGGAGCTGCAAAGAGTCCTGAGGGTCCCCCAAGGACAATGTGCCCTCCCTCCCTGGGCCTCTGCCCCCCAAGAAGGGGGTGGAGGAGCCTGACCAACCTTCAGCGCCTGGTCCTGCAGCTTGAACTCCTCGTCCTCGTCTGAGTCGCACTCAGGAAACTGGTAAATGCGGATCCCGTAGTGTTCGATCTCTTCCCGGATCTGCACACAGACAGCCTGGCTGACGGACAGGGCCCTGGGCCCTCGGAAACAGGGTGGGAAATGCCACAAACAGGGCGATATAGCCCCAGTGTGCCTTCGCTTGGCCTCCTCTTACCTTGTTTTTCTTGCGCTCTACCTCAGAGGGTGTCAAAGTGTCAGCCTTTGCCAGGACAGGCACGATGTTCACTCGCTGGTGCAGAGCCCTCATGAACTCTACATCCAGGGGACGAAGGCTGAAAGGAGAGCATGGTTAGTGCCGCCCTGCAGCAAAGCCTCTTCCACAAACCAGCGCAGCCATTGCTGCAAGCTTCCCTGGGAATGCTCAGCACCCTCAAGCGTGCTCTGCAGCCACTTGCTGAGCAGGGACGGGGAGGTCGGGGTTGCTCGTACCCATGGCCAAAGGGTGAGATGAAATAGATGCAGCAGTGGACACGGTTGTCCTGGATGTTCTTCCGGTTCAGGCCACTTTCATCACGGAAATACTGCTCGAACTGCTGGTCAATGTAGTCGGCCACGGGCTTCCAGCTGGAGGGACAGGAGGGGTTGCAGAGAGGTGAGGTAAGGTGAGGATTGGTGGTGACCCCCAATCCTGCAGGACCCATGGCCTTCCCCAGCCCCAAGCTGTCCAGGAGAGACCCTCTCCCTGAGTCCCAGGCCCCATCGTGCTGTTTCCAGGCTCAACATCCCTTCCTATGGCTCAGCATTGCTCCCCAAGGAGACGAGCAGTGCAAGCCCAGCCAGCCCCCCCCAGGCTAGCAGGATCTGGCCGTCGAGGCAGGCAGTGGTGGCAACATGACCCACTAGGTGCCCAGGAGGCTCGCAGCACTGCAGAGCATCCCTTCCTGCCCACATCCCTGACTCTCAGCTTTCAGGCTGAGCGGGGGTGTTTGGACCTTGGACACCTAAATGGCAGCCAGGAGCGCAGAGCAGAGGGGTGCGGGCCACAGGTCAGCCCCTTTCTGGGGAGGCCCGGTGATGCTCTTGACCCCAGACGCAGCAGTTGCTGCCAGCAGGAGGATGCTGGAGCCATTCCTGGGCAACAGCTGCCCCAGCACAGGAAGAAACCTAGGTGCTGCCCTGTCACAGGCAGATCGGGGTAGATCTGTCAGGCTAAAGGGAGCTGGCGCCCAAAATCAGCATGAGAAAACCTGCGGCTCGGTGCAAGCTGGGGAGAGGCAGGGAGAGATTTTAGGAGCGGGACCCTGGAACAGGCCTGGGGAACTTTCCTCCAAGCTCACTCACAGCTGGAGGCTGGAAACCTTTGGTGTGATGGTCAAATCCTGCTCTGCTCCAGCCTGTGCCCCTTTTGGGTAGATGCTCCCAGCACCTCTTTATGCTTTGGGGGATGGTGGCTTCGGCTGCGTCACAAATCCCTTCCTTTGAGTTTGTAAGAGCCAGGCCCTCTCCAAGAGCCAGGCCCCAATTTCAGGAGCTGCCTTATGTTAGAGCCCTGCATGACTGTCTCTGCTAATCCAAAACAGCATGGAGGAGCAAGTGCTGAGCTCTGCTCCCAGCAGAGCACATCTTGTGATGCTCCCCAGCCACCCAACCCCACGTGGCCAACTACCCTGCACACTGCAGGACTCTGGCCCTCTTCACGTACCCACTCAAAGCCACCCCCCCTCACATTAATGGTGCACCACACCCCGTCAACACCCTGCATTGAGCCCTGCAGCAGAAACCTCCGCCGTCACGCTGCCCAGCAAGGCCATGGCGCTCTCAGCAGGACACACCATTCAGTGTTGTTCACGGCGTCCCCAAAGCCTGGGGTGTCCACAATGGTCAGGCGTAGCTTGACACCTTTCTCTTCGATGTCCACCACGTGCTTGGTGATCTCCACTGTCTGTGTGATGCGCTCTGGAAAGGCAAGAGAAACCGCCACAGTCTGGGCAGCCCCTGGGCAAGGTTGGGGGGGGGGGGGGGGGGGGGGGTTTCTTTCCAGACG